CAGGTAACCCGATATGCAATTTTGGAATGCAAACTTTTAGTTCAAATGTGCAAGCTCAAACTTAACAAATGTTTAAAATATTTGAGTTTTTCAAATGGTGCCAAAATAAACCATGTCTTTTCTAAAGACTACGTATTTAGCTAGGCACTGGCAATGTAAATCTTTCAACCATTTCAAGTATTTGTTTAAAAGCCTCCCAGAACACGTGTGCTCCCAACAAAACTGAAGAATGAAATGTTTAGACCACTGAAGCTCAACAGCTGACTTGTAATTGGCCTAATATGAGAACACCACTTTGGTTTTTTGGACTTGTGAATACATTTTATTTACCAATGCATGAGAAGAACAAACAGAGAAAGTCCAGTTCTGCAGACCTGATGTGAAATGGTACAGTGATAAGAGTCAGTACATGTAACTCTCCGATCATAGCAAGCGCAGAGAAACTGCTGGTCAGTGATTTAATATGTCTCACAGTTCATTCTTGCATGGGTAGATACAAAGTGAAAAGAAAAGAAACAGCAAACCTAATAGCTTTCATCTGGCATTAATCTATATGAAGAAAATTAAGGTACAGAGAAATCCTGACACAGAGAGCAAGTTCATTTGTGTACATGGATTAAAGATGTCAGCATACATTAAAAAGAAATGTACATTTCAATTTCAGGATATCACCTTACAAAATATTTATAAAGCCATTTAATTTTAATGTTAAGGTATCTTGTAAAAAGTCCTGTGATTTCGAATAAATAAATGCACCTGTGACAACATATTGCCATTACTAAACAATTTCAATCTGATGGCTTATTTATAAAAGTAGTTTTAATATTTTCCTGCATTAATGATTAACTAATGAATCTTACTTTCTTGTGAGTATATTTAAGGAGGAATCAAACCAACTCATCTATAGGATTCCACTAAGAAAACTGAGCTGGCTCTGAACTTTTCAGATATGAGCAGTTTTCCCAACACTAGTACAGAAAGCTGTACTACCAAGTTTTGGCTGTGGGCTGACTGAAAAACAGTACTAAATGACTAAAGGTCCACAGTTCTTTTCTGTTAAAGTTGATTTGTCACAATATTGTTAATTAGTGAGGGCTTAGGGAAGGCTTACTATGAATATAATTAGTGCTGAAAAGCATTAATAAAGTTCTTATCCTGAGCCAACATGATGCTATTTACATATTTTACCCTGGCATATAACAGAAATGGCTCACAATGCGTAACGTGCCACAGGACTATCAGAAGAAACACACAAAATCTCACAGGGGAAGAATGCTTCTGAGTATCTCAGTGCTCCTCAAGACAGCAGAGACACACTAATATGACCCGTAATTACAACTGTCACCATAAGCATTGCCTATGGTGAGCCACCTAGTATCACCAACTGTTGTTCCATCGAGAGGCAAATGAATTGCTACTCCTGGTACATAATCTGATGCAATCTCACCCTTCCCTCATAAATTAGGAGAGAAGTGACAATTGCGTTTGTCTGCTATATAGGGCAGGTTTGTTTTCACCTTCAGAGCTCTGCATGGACATCAGTTCTCAATGAATAAACTATATGATAAAAGCCAATTAACCCTTGTTATCATTGTTGCCTATTTCTACAAGGAAGGCCAGAATTCCTGCCCTCTTTACACTGAAAGGCAAAAGAGACTGAGTTCAACAGGGCCAGACATTCACCCGAGGGCACTAAAGGCTTGGGCCTGTATTACTTGTGTGACTTTTTCTGTTCACTCCAGCTGTAGAAGAAGTGAAAGTGTTTTAACATTAGCCACACAGATGCTTTTGCAAACTTCCCCAAGGAGCCTAAGCACCTCTTCAGGGGTTGCATACCTTTTATGACTGTCACTAAGGGATTTGCCAAAGACCACACACCAGGTTGTTAGCAAGAAGGAGTGAGAACCCAACCATTTCCAAATCTTCACCTCTCAGCGCAGTAGATTTCCCAAGGTTCTTTTCAAAGAAGACAAACATTTCTAGCCGAATTTTAAAAATCAACTCCTGATTTAATTATGGATCAAAGTAATTCATCTACAGGATGACAAAAACTGCTACCTAAAAATCTCACTGAAATTCAGGCTACTTGGTAAAAGACACAAAACAGTCAGGAAGTATTTTTTCACTTAGGTACAATGTGTAAAAAGGAAAAATAAAATGCAGAATGATCAGCCTATTTTACTGAATTGAATATTACCCACAATCAGATGTATCTGACATCAAGCTGGCTAGACTGCTTTTGCTTGCCTTCCTAAACAAAGCCAGCTGACACAGGAGGATGGAAGTCAAGCAGCCTTGCTGTATGGAGCCTGTACTCAAAATATAATTTGCTCAGAGGTGGAAAGACTTGGGGCAAGGTGAAGACTTCTCAATACTCCTAAGAGGGGAGGAGGAATTTGGCACATTCATGCATGGAAAACAAGACCTGATTTAGTAAACTTGCATTTCCAAAGTAGCATACAAGCTTCCTCATCAAAGTGGTAAAAGAGTAAGAGGCAATATTTTTACATGGAAAAATATGTACTTAAAACAATGTAGCTTAAAACAATGAGTAGGAATAAATTTATCATTTTCACAGTGAAGGAAAGTTACCTTATTGTCCTCAGGCATCTTTGTTCCAGATCCCATGTTGTTCAATGTAACTAAAAAATCACCTTGAAAAATGAGTTAATTTGGAGATATTCAGTATGGAAATGCTGATGATACTATGCTACTGTGAGCAGCAAAGATGAGTTGTGAGAAGAGGTGGAAGAGAGGCTCATGGTCACCAGGGAATGCATGCTGAAACAGATGACATAAATGCAAAATTATGCATTCAGAAAACAGTTCTGCCTTCACAGACCTTATGATGAACTCTTAGCTGGATATTATAAATGAGAAATGAGATCTAGAGTTGTTATTATTACAGAAATATTAATTTCAAGAAATCATCTGTAATAAAGCAAATCCAATGCTAAAGTTTATTACAAATAGAACAGAGAATAAACCAGACAACATCATTATGACAACTGTTAAAGTCACAATTTCGCTGTATCTTGAGTACCAGACACAAATCTGGTTCTATCTCAGTAAAAACAGTGCAGACCTGGAAAAGAAGTAGATTAGCATGACAAGGCCAATTAAAAACATGAGACAGCTTCTTTACTAGATACTAGGGGTTCTCTCTGGAAGAAAGAAGGTGGGGGAAGGCTGCCAAATATGTAAAATCACAAGGGACATGGAAATAGTATGAATAGGGAATGGCTGTTCACTGTTTCTCTAACACAAAAACTAGATGATAGCAAATTAATAGAGGTGTTTCACAGCAAATTAAAGGAAATATTTCTCCACTCAATGCACCATTAACTGCCTAAGTCCTCGTGGCAGGAACAACTAGATACTAAAAGTTTAAACATATTAAAAACAGGTGATGAAAAAATGCTGCCAAATACAAAGAAAGCACCTAAGTAAAAAATTCCTGGGAGACCACTGTGGAGGAAGGTTACTAGTGCTGGCCTGACTTTATACCCTTTCTCAGGCATCTCCTACTGGTTGTTGCCAAAAACAGTCCTTGGGCTTGTTGGACCTTTGGTCTAGCACAGTATGGTAGTCTTAGAACAGAAATGGTTCAAAACCACTGATAGATCAGGAGATCTTGCATTTCACTCAGTGCACTAAACCTCAGTGATGACAACAGGAAAAAGAGCAGTTGAGTATCTCAAGCACCAGACAGCAGCACATGGGAGATGGTGAAGGGGCAGGGGGTGACAGTCCTCTAGTCTTTCCTCCCACTGGATAAGTGCAGGGGAGAGATTCCACACTCATTGGCTATCTTGGGATTGACTAAAGGTCAAAAAAGAGCACTTCAGAGGTTTCTTGAAGTGACTTGGTAAATTTGGCTTCGAGGAATGCTACTGAGCTCTCTGCAAGGGGTTAGGTTTGGTATACTGAAACTAGAAGAAGCTTAGGTCTGCAGGTGATGAAGGTTTAATATGGCAGTGCCTGAAGGAAAAACGGGTATTGAAATGCCTCCTTCTACCCAAAATTAAAATTTCCTTTTCTTCAGCTAGGCTGCCCTATCATGACATCTGTACACACAAACAAACATTAAAAGGGAAGACAGCATAACAACATTAAACACAAAGTAGAGTAGGCAGGTGGAAGCCTTAGGAGCTACATCCACCCTTCCTGAGCTGACTGGTCCTAGGAGTAGCTTAAAACCCACCATGCTGCTGAGATTCATTACTGAATTTAGGCTGCTTAGAGATGACTGCTATCTTCTTGAGCAGGTTTATACAAGTGCTGATCTGGCTTTTTTGCTCACCAATTGGTCATGTGACAGATACACCAAATACAGGCAGATGTTGGGGTCACAAATATAACTTCAGGTCTGACTCTCCTGTCTCTCTAGGGTCTATAATATCTGTGCACCCCAAATTTTCCTCCTAATCCCTCTGTTTCTCCCCTCCCTGCAGGGGTCAATCCTTCAGTCTTTGTGTTCAGTCCCAGGGCAGTTCAGAAGTACACAAAGCAGAGGCTTGGCAGTCTGGCCTCAACCAACCCGGATGGTACTCCTGCACTACAGAGCAATCAGAGGTCTAACAGAAGAAGGAAAAATAGTATTTTAAGGAAGGGGTGAGGGACCTTACACTGAAAAGTCAAATTTTGACTCTGTAAGGTGGTTTCTGAATATTTGTCAGGTTTTGCCTCACAAGAAAGGACAGAGGAGTGACTACAAACAACACAGGAAACCTTCCCCACTGTCTGGGATACTGTACAATGTCACAAGGCTTTCACATTGCAATTTGTGAAGCTGTACCTCCAGGGAAACTGAACTGTACATTTCTTTTTAATGTATGCTGAAAATAGCAAGTACTAGCAGTAGCTATTCCACAGTTGTATAAAGTTAGCCATGTACCCTTCCCTTCAATGTAGCCACAGTCACTAGCTGCAATTCAATGGGCTATGAGTAAGGAGGAAACAATCTCCACAACACTAGCCAGAGATATTTCTTGAATGTGAACCTACTTTACCAATTAATATATTTAACATACAAATACCAGACTGCTTGCAGCCTCAGAAAAAAATATAAGGGATTTAAATTTTGAAACTTCTTTGCAGGATTTTGCACCTGAAGCCTGCAGTGTTTGAAAACATGATCAAGCTGTGCCTTGCAGCAGACTACAGTCTGGTAACCCCGAGAGGAGAGGCTGTTAAAATAAGCATCTACATCATTTTTCACAGTACACAGTGCCACAATGCATCTGCTTAAAAACAAATACATGTTTGCAGTGAAACATTTCAACAAATCACAGAACTCAGCAGCAAAGTAGTTAAACATTTATGATTTGATTTTATCTCAGCTTGGAATGTCGCTGGAGTGTCCCACTTCTAACAACTGTTTGCTAAGTTAAGGCTTTAGTGTTTACACAGTGCTGAATGAAGCAGCCTGGTCACCAGATGTGAATGCTTCCTTAGACTAGAGCTTTCAATCAGATCACGGTCCTAATGGTCCCTGCTCCAACCTTCTTCCTCAGGACGTCCACCAGCCTTTCCAACCTGAGAGGGGGCAGGGGAGAGGGAGAGGAGAGAAAAAAAAAGGAAGCTAACGTTAGGAATGTTCTGGCTGAAAGAGACAGTGTTTGCACTGAACCAAGCTGTCCTGGTAGTGGTCATGCTTGGAAACAAAGCACTACTGTAAAAGACAGACATTAAGGGAAAATGCAGACAACTTACGGAAAACTTTTAACCCACAGCCCAACCCATTTGCAGTCAGCAATATATGTCAACTTACTTTTCTTTTGTGGTATATGTATTATCTGAGGTCCCTGAAAAGCACCAACACAAACCCCTGTGCAGCAACCCTGTGGCACATGTACACTTCGGTGTATGCAGGACATTCAGTTCCTGCACTCTGTAAAATTTGAGTCGTCCATGGCTCTTGTCAAACATAACACTTAGCTCTTGTTACCTCTTAAAAAATACCCTGCTTGTTATCCAACAGATACTTTTATTATCCAGTTTATAAATTTATGCCTAAACCTCAAGTGTTTTATGTAAAAAACTTTAAAGAAATGCTCAACAAGGGAAGCTTCTGAGGATGTGGATGATGATATTTTGAAGGTGGTCCATATGGTTACTATGTTAACACAACCAGTTAATAAGAAGGACAGAGAGCCACATAATCTTCTCTTAGTTTTAAGGCACAGGATATAATTATGTCCAGCCCCTCACTGGCTTAATTTGTTCTTTCCTTCTGTTAAACTATGTAGGCAAATGCAAAGGGCTAAATCTGTTCAGCATTGTCCATTTACACACATTTATCTTCAGCACTCCAGTAACCATGCATTCAAATTAATTCATCAATTTATCTGTATTTTATAGAAGCTCTCTCACACATTAACCAACTATAAAAAAGCTGACACTGTGTGCAGTAGAACACTTTTAAAGCCATGTCCAGCATATTATAGACATGACTTCCATAACAGATTAAAAGAGTTGTAGATTCAAGTGGCCACATTCACTGTTGCAAAGCTGACCATTTTTCCTTATCTGAAAAGACAGTTATGCTTCTTTTTTTTTTTTTTTGTATCTGTATTATACAACTTGAGGAATGCAGATTGGAAATAAAAATAGCACAGCTTTATCAAAAATGCAAAATTAATTTTATCTCTTTGGTGCATTAGCAATGTCAGTGCAGGAAAACTAGTTAACACGTCTTGGATTTATTGCCAGAAGCCATGACTAACACACACGGTACGTATTGAAACACTCTTGTTTTCCAGGAACCACCAAGCACCACGAAGCTACACCTTTCATTGTACTCACCAGGTGACTTAATTCCTGAAACAAGATTAAGAATTCACCACCCTAATGTAATTATCAGACACCAGGAAATGTATGTGGAAAGTTCATCTGGTTCTAGCTGTTCCACATGGACTCTAAAGAAGTGAAAGCACAGGTGAAAAACTACTGCTTAGCACCTCCTCTCCCATCAGTTTTCCATGTATTATTGCTTTTCCTTTTAAACCAACTAGTGCATTTTTCCTGGTTTTGTAACATACATCTACTGCACTCCTTCACCTGGCAGTACCCAGACAGTCATAACTCAGTGCAGGTAGTCCACAAAAGTATAAAGTCAGGGCTTCACAAGTTATTTGCTCCTGAAAGTTTTCTCACAGCAGATAAATAAATTTTTTTCTGGGTACGAAGGGTTTTAACTCAGTTATTGATAGGTCATAGTTTCCTCAGCCTCTCTTACTGAGAAATTTCCCTATTAAATCAGTGCCATTTCAGAAAGCAATGGCAGATCAGTCCTCACTTTTAACAGCATGTATGTTCAGAAGCACTGCAGCTTCCTCAGCCACTTTCACTGTCACTGGAGGTCTCTTTCTCACACTAGCATCCACTCTAGTGTGCTTCAGAGACATAAAGCACAGGAGAAACGTTTCAAACTGTCAGGACAAACAGGAGGTTTGGGCTGCAAATTGTTTTCTGGAAGACAGCAGAAAAACAGTAACATCAGAGGTCTTATTTAACTCACCATTCAGTTAAAAAGATATACTGCATGGCTTACACAGGTGAGGGAGAAATTACTTCAATAATTGAGGCTTCATTTGGGGAGACACTGGTTGGAGGTCATTGCTTACACACTGTCCTGCAATTGGGCTTAGATGTGCACCACTCTGTGACCAAGCAATGACACTGCACACCAGAGCAGACAAGTTAAGGAAGAGCTGCCCATGTTTGGAGAGAAATACCACTGGGATGAAAGTAGCTGTCTTCTGTTTAACCTTGAAACTGTCAGGCTTCATTGAAAATAATGAGGCTTAACCATCATAGCTTCTGCTTTTCGAATGAATGATGACTGAAATAATCAAAATGAGGCAGCCCACACCAAACATAAACCATGCAGGGTTTATTTGCCTTTTGTTTCAGTCATGTGTGGATTTGCAAATTTATTTATTCTTTATTAGAAGAAAGGAAAAAAAAAAAAGCAGCAGGGGATTAAGAAACCATACCTTTGAAAGAGATTTAAACAATAATGTAAAAGAGAAACTGTAACAGCTATTTATAAGATAAAATAACAGAGGGCAAAATTCACCTCTACACAGACACAAGACCCAATATACCACTGAAATCCCACTTAAGCCTACAAAATAAAGCTATGGGCTGAATCAGTGGTTAATAACTCTTGATACAGGCCTCAGGGGGCTTTTCGGAACGATAATCCTGGACTCTTTGTTCACCAAGGGCCCAACTCTGCCATGCTGACTCACACTAAGCACCATTTTTCTTTGTGAGTAATAAAAGGCAGCTAACAAGGCCATTTGTGTCAATGAGGTGCTACCTGCGAGGGGTGAGGGTGGCAGAATCACCCCTTGTCCATAAGGCTCAGCCCGGTGGGATGCTGCAGGCAGCTCCTTTTAAGGGCTGAGCATTTTAATCTGTGGTGAACTGAAGGAATAGTCCTATGCCTCAAGATCAAAGCTAACTGCCAGTATAATCTCACTATATTTTACTTAACTGAAAGCAAATACTATGTTTGACTGTATGCTAAGACACTGATTTAACAAATGACATTTGTCATTTTGCTTGTGAAGGAACAGTCCTCATAGTATGAATTACATGCACAGTATGACACTGTCTTCTCCTGAGATTTAAGATACTCACTGAATTTGCATTTCATGAAGCAACCAAGTAAGTCCTTCAGGAAGAAATTATTGCAGTTGGTGTTTTAGGTCAGACAGAAGAATGATATGGCAGGCAACTAAGCTGCAGTCCTGAAGGTCCAAATGTGCAAGGACAGACATGCATTTAGAAATGCTGAACAAAGCCTCTTAAGGTCTCACTCCTCATTCTCACAGGTTTCAACCTTTTGCTTAGAGATTTTGGAAAATCCTAGTAGGTGACCTTTGCTATTTCTTCATACTTACATAATTCTAAATATCTGTCCCTTAACAAATAACTCCTCTTTGCAAATGCCTCTTCAGCATTCTCTGCACAATTATTGTATGTGTGCTTACAAATGAGTATATATAATGGCATATAAAATATAGGAACAAACTACATACTCAGAGGGAGAGGTACACCTTTAATTCTATTTATACTGATTTGCATGTAGCTGAAGTAAAAATGTCTTGCGTTTTTTGGAATAGGCGTAAGTTGCATCCATGAAAAGTACAAAGATGAAGAAACAAATATTCTTTATCTGCCTTCTTCTTTAATGCTCATCTCAGTGCTCCCAAGAAATGGAAAAACAAAAAAACCCCAAAAGTCAGGATAGGACATCTGGTTCATCATTACTTTGAAGTTAGCAAAAGATGCATCATTGTGAAGAGTTCTGAACTGCAGTGGCTTCATTCTTCCTCAATACAAACTTGGAATTAACCAGGTGAATCTATGTTTCAATACAGAAATGATATGGAGGTTTGAGAGGTTTGTTGCTATGATAGTACCAGCTTGAATATGTACTTTTAAAAAGTGTTGCTAAGCTGTGAGAGGTTCTCATCTTCAGAGGAATGCTACCTAAACAAGGAAGTTGCTAGGTTTGTCTTCCCCAAGATGAATTCTCAACCATTCTCAGCTCCTCTTCCAGTTATTTCAGATTGTGCTATTACCTCTGCATACATCTCACAAAATGCCTGTATGGAGTGTATGCTGTTATATGGAGTGTTCTTGTGTAGCTCCTGAAATGTCTGACAACTTGCTTTAAGTTTTAGCAAAGCCTTACAGAACATGACCCAATCTTGAGTACAAATATGTCTATTTTTAGAATCAGTCTCCAAAAAGCAGACTTAATATCCTTACTGACAGAGAAGCTTGCTCTGGGGGCCCAGAAGCTGGATATATAGTTGCAAAAATGTTATGTACTCGTTCCTAGTGCTGTTTTCTATGCACATTTTTGGCTTGCTCTCTTCTTTCACACATTCTGCTGAAGAAATCTATCTCTAAACTGTCACTTAGGATGAGTAAAAACTCTGCAACTGTGTAAATCCACATAGATCAGTACATCCTCCAACACTGCTCCATCTCTGGCCAAAGGAGCTCACCCCAAAGGAGAGCAGTGGCCTCTATCCACAAGTTCTGAACATCATGGTTCCACCATCACAGAGTGACCTTCCAGAGCATCATGCCTCAGAAACAGCCAAAATGGATACCCAGCTGAAAGAAAAGGTTATCCATAAAGTAGCCTATGTCCTAATCTGCAAAGCAATATAGAGACTAGCCGAAAACAATAGCTTCTACTTGCAGATGGAGGAGTTAAGCGATAAAAACAAAACCCTCCTGGGTTTTGAAATGCTATATAAAGGCTTATAAACCTAAACTATAACCCTTGGTTATCTTTCCAGTAGATAAGATTAGGCTCAGGCTATGAAGATGGCCTTACTTGCATGATTTCTGACTTCTTGTGGAATGTGTTTTGCTAACACTAATTCCCTTTAGAAAGCAAGCATCTGAAAATACATTAGGTAAATAAAATGCATTGGACAAAAGCATTACAAGCAGTTCAGCAGTAGAGTGCAGTGAATAACCGACTGCTCAGTGAGTGGTCATAC